TTTTAGATTCCATTCATTTCTACGAGAATTGATTTACTGAATGGCGGGCTTATTAAATTACCCACATAACTGTGATCGTGCTGCGAACAGTGAAATCGAACGTTGATACGAGTCTATTACTTTCGATTACAGTTAAAAATATATACATATATCGATGTTTAATATATTATGCCGTTGCATTATTGACATTTCGATTTATTTTATTTTCGTTCGAAGGCCTCTAAATAAGATATACAGTTACCACCCTATGCAGGTACGCCGCACAAAGAGAAAGTAAATGAAGCTTCGTGACTCGACTCTGCAGTGCATGACTACGCACATTGAATGTTATATACCGTTGTACACGCATTCGCTGACATTACGGGGAGATTTTACGGGGGCCGAACTTCTCCGATCCCGACGAAGTTAACGCTACATTAAACGCGGTGCACGACCCATATCATGTTGCGTAACTAAACAAACTCCCACACGATAACAATATTAAAAACCCAAGTAGACTGCAAAATTAAATTCTACCCAGCCAAGTTACGTAGCCATCAGCGTAAATCCACTTGCTGCTTTCACGATCGCTTTGCAATCCCGCAATTGTTGCAGATTTGCAGTAGTTTTTTTCTCACGATCATGGGAAACATCGCGCGTTTTGCGAAATGATAGATAATACTTGATATAATCGTAATAAACAAAAGATTTTCTATAAAATCACGTCAATATTAATGTCGATTTCAAATCCGCTCAAAAGAAGTTATTTTCATTAAGTTCTTCCCTTATTTCTCATCAAAAAATTACTCTATTCAAAAATTCGAAATGTATAATTTAATTCAAGTTAAAAAATTTTTTCAAAATTATATAAAAAGATCGAAGGACGATCCAATTGTTAAACGATTGAAATAGACAGCTTATTAAAGCTATATATATTTGAGTTTATACGCGCTGTCATAACTTCACCAACGTTTAGAAACTTCCCCAGCTAGACACAAGTATGCTATTTACTTGGCAGATACTCAGAATAGCGCGACTATAATCCCCTCAAGGGGTGATAGCGGCACGCACGTGAGAAAAGGATTGACGAGCCGACGCGACGGTGTCGCAAAGTATCGAGAGGGAACATTGATCGATCACTTCTTACGAGCTTTACCGCGACGGTGGTTATACCAAGACGGTGGTGTCGGCAGCATCCGTAACCTTGCTAAATTATTGAACGACCATGCTAGACGTCGCGCCGCGCCGTCCATGCCGCAGTCATGGGCAATTCCGCGGGATATATATTGTACATTTCCGGCCCGCATATAAGATCGACGTGCCAGAAATCGTATCGATGGATTGAGATGGCGAGACGTCGAGATTTGAAGAACCTGCATACGCAGGTATAGTAAAAGGAAGTGTGACAGAGAAGCAACGGAGCGAGAGAAAAAAGATAGTAACCGCTCTCAAGAGTTTCTTCCAAGTTCCTTCAAGGAACTGTAAAGATTAGTAGAGCGAAAAATGTGCTTGCATGCTAAATGTAATTTAATTGTCAAATATTAATAACTTATATTTCTAGTCATTTTGTCTGTTTAAAGATTAGAGATAGAAATATCAGATTTACATCGAGTGGAGACTCTTCTCGCCCGAGAATAACGATAAAAAACCAGTCAATCACAATCGTTGAGAATTAAGGCGCGTCAGAGAGAATTTCATCGAGTTGCCCCGGCGCGGTGGCCCGATCGACGAACCTGCATTTAAATAAATTGACATTTTCCGATTCACGGGCACATAGATGAGGCAAAATAGCGGTTACTTCCGTGCAATACCAGCAGGAGAGGATGAACGTGGACGAGAAAGAGGGGGGGACCAATTTAAAAGCCGCGGCTCAGTGGGGCACGATGACGTAGTTAGCGTGCGGCTTCTCTGTCGTCTCTCTAAAAATGAGTGATAAAAAGAAGGTGACAGAGAAAATGGAAGAGGGAGATAAAGAGAGTAATCTGATAATATCTCTCTTTAGCGAGGCTCGAGACTAATGCATTTGCGGTGATATGGAGGAGAAAAATAATGGGGGGAAAGAGAGAGAGAGAGAGAGAAAAGATTCCCTCTCAGACGGTCGACAAGCCTCGAGTATTATTTCTGGTATTCACGTACGGCACTCGTGACGTATGACGATGGAAGGGTTGTGCGAAGGAGGGCAAAGAGAGAGCGAGAGAGAGAGAGAGAGAGAGAGAGAGAGAGAGAGAGAGAGAGAGAGAGGGAGCAAAGGGCGCGTGCACAGTAACCCCTTTCCTCATTGTTTGTACGAGATTCTCGTTTGTATTCGCGAAAGAGAGAGATCAGAGGGACGCTTCACGCACCGACGATTCCGGTTTGCAAAAAGCAACGAGGAGAAGGGGGTGGGGGAGAAAAAAGATACGCGGAAGATACGAAGGGACGGGGGTTGCGCCGGATGGCTGAGAATCGAGGGCGGCGCGGGGAGAGGCCGCGAGGGAGAGAAATCGCGAGGGAAACGAGAGACAGCGGTATCCCTCCGTGGTGACCTCCCCCTCGTCCCCCCCTTCCCCCCTGGTCGCCCTCACCCAGCGTGAAGCGGCGTTCCCTCGCCCCAATTACCGTGCCCGGCGCGCACAACGCCTGCCGTCCACGCTCGCAATTTGCATCCGACCTCTATTTCCTCGCGGCGAAGCGCGATGCTGCGCGCGCGAACTTCGTCATCATCATCCCGAACCGACGTTCGCGTCGTCCTGGACGACGTTCCAGGAAGTACCTAGCGTGTCGGCAACGTTCGAAACGATCTCGTTCGAGAGACGCGAACGATTGAGTTCAGCACGCACGATGAATATCGTTCTAGAGGCGTGGACCTGTAATATATCAAGTACTCGAGATGATGATTCATCCCCGATGAAATCTGGCGAACCTCGCCTAGATGTATACGCGGGGTAAACGAAGCGAAAATAAGGATATGGGTTACTCACGAGGCACGAGGTCATCGATGAGGCGGCCAGCGGCGGGTTGACATCGACTCCAGGATGACGATCGACGACCGAGGGGCATCCTTCCGGTCGTTTCACCCTCTCTCGCCTTTCCCGCTCCCTTCGCTACTCCGAGAGATACTCCGAATTTACGGGGATGTCCCGCGGGACCCGGGCGATCCTCCCGTTGTCGTCGTCGTCGTCGTCGCGCGCTCTCAGGCAACACCCACTTTCTCCCCTGGCCTCGTAACCTCGGAGAGAGAGGTAACCACTTTCCTTCCGTCCCGTCGCTGATCGCAGGGGCGCAGGGGCGCTATCCTCCGTCGTCGTCCTCGTCGTCGTCGCCGACCACCACCACAACCACTGCCACCGTGAACCGCCGTCTGACCACTGCCGCAGCCGCCGCCACCGCTGTCGCCGTCGTTGTCGCCTGACACAGCCACGGACAGGCAACTAACGGCAGTAGTAACAGACGTCAGTTATACTACTGTCAGACAAGTTTCGCACCCCTTGCGTGTCACGTGAGCTCCCCGTACGTTCCTCTCCCTCTTTCTCTCCCTCAATTCCTCTTCCGCCCTAGTATGCCCTTCCCCTCTCTCGCGCCTTTCGTCGGGCGCGAGCTATCGACTCACCCCCGTTGGCAATTAAATCGTAGCTTGCCGCGCGCGCCGGGTCTCGCGTTGTCTCGCAGGATCTCGTCGCCCGCTCTCGCGCGGCCGTGTCTCCTCACATCGCGGCGCCGTTTTGCGTGCCGTTTCGCGCGCAAGAACGGTGGTGCACGACGAACGATGGCAGGATGAGTAACGGAGGAGCGACGCCGACGCGCACGTTCCGCCGCGGCCGTCGCAGTGGCCGGTGTGGTGTGGCTGCGCGGCGCGGCGCGATATACCCTCGCTACTTCGCCAGCGGTGAGCGCCGCCGGACCAGCCGAAACCAGCCTCCCTTCCCTCTGCTACCTCTACCACCCTGTCCCCTTTCCCCCTCTTCTTCCTCAATCCTCCCTGCCCTCCTCTCTCGCCGGATGCCGATCCAGTTGCTGACTGGTCGCTCGCTGACTGTTCTAGGGAGAGAGCGTACGCGTACGCGTGACCGTGGCACGCGCGTGCCCCGGCATGCGCCGATGCGCCCTCGACACGCGCCGCGCGAGCCCCATGGGTCGCGGACACCCTTGGCGTCATCTGGGATTACTCCGGGGTGGCTGTGCCTGCATCCGCGCGACCCGACCCGACTCCGGGAACAACTACCCTCTTCTCTGTTTCTCTTTCTTTTTCTCTCTTTCTCCAAATGATACACGTGCATAAGAGATCGAATTAAAAATTTTAAAAATTATTGAACGTGTTACAGAAGTGTACTTCTTTTTTAATTTGTTTCTAAACTCGGATCTCTGAAAGAGAACCTAACTGGAAATTATTTCCCGTATATATATGCCCGTTGAGTTCCTTTTGCGAATAGAAAGTAAAATTGTAGGGCAAGCACACGCAGCTAAATTAATTTAGCTGTTTTTAATTATGCTATAATTAAAAAGATGCTATTTACCGTGCGATGAAAGAACTCTAACTTGTTTCGCGAACGTAAAGAAGCTTGGTGCCGTCCTAAAATGTCGGCAATGTAACTGCCTGCATGAAAATGTAAAACTGCCTTTGTATCTTTTCACGATACCCTGACGATACGATTATCATCATCTAGTAATGTAAAAATTTATCACTTGCGATAAGATATCATCTAATATAAAAAAGTTTGCAAATTATTGCAAATGGTAATAATATCTCTCTTAATATTGCGTGAAAATATAATTTTTACTTAACGCAAATGTTCAACAAAATAAACCCTGCGTTCGTTTATTCACATTGGGAGCTATTGGGAAACCAAACGCGAACGCAGGCAAAATAAAGATTCTAGGATAAGATAGGCTCGATAAGATAAATTTAAATTCAAATCGTTCGAGCTATCGACTAATCGTATTGCGAGATAACAATTTAAAGTCTCGCGCGAGCGAGTCGGTGCCTCAGCCGCTTGTACTTTGACACTTCGATCAGCGCGATCGGTTAGGCAGAACCCGCAGAACGGTGTCATGGCGCGGCAACGATGACCGAGAGCGTGTTCCTCATCGACGAATCTAGCACGAAGGCCAGTATGTGGGGCGGATTTCGCTGCAACAGGGCTTTCGTGATACTGTTCCTCCTAAACGTGATCGTCTTCCAAAGCATCATATGTGAGTGTTCGTCTACTTATCGTGTTCCTCCCGCGTTCCGTTGCCGCGAGCAACCCGCCGCATGTCCCGCGTCCCGCATCTCCACGCGTCCAACGTCTACAAAAGCGTGCCGCGTGCGACAGCGCGAGCGGCGCGAGTTGGCGCGCGCGCGATGCGCTTTTGGCGCGATATTCGAGCCGGGGTCGAGTAGATAATTTTATTAACTTTTTTTTCACGTGAATTAACAGAGCTGCGTATAGAAATTAAAAGATTAAAGAAGAGGTGTAGTAAGATTATTGTAATTGTTAACGTGTTAATATATACATTAATTACTCGAGATTACAGAAATTAAAAAGTAGGAAAAAGACCGTTATACCCCGTGTTTTTTTTTTACTGGCAATGCTGAAAATATATAGTTTGCGTCACGTAACTATAGATTTTCAGTACTGGTAGTGAATAAAGGAACACAGCCATAGTAGAATTGTTATAATTGTTAGTATGCTAATGTATCTTGTGAAATGCGCACTTCGTATGAATATTATTAATTATTATCAGTATGAATGTTATTATCAGTATATCTTAAATGGATCGACATTGTCCAGACACGATTAAACCTGTGAGATAAAATTTGAGCGATTATTATCAAATATTGTGATCTGTAAACAGATATTTCGAACAAAAAAAAATGGAAAAGATACGAATCGCTATTGATCTTAACAGCTTTGAATTTTTTGATAAAATCATAATGTCGTTCTGTTAAGAGAAAATTAGCTGTACTTTTAATTCCGCTGAATGAATTCTTCATTTCGAAAGCAGAGAAAAAAAAGAGAAATCGCGGTCGTCAGCGATATCACGTACATACGCTGCCACGTATTATACGTATCGTGATTGCAAATCTGTACGGAATATTCGTAGAGCGCGGATTATTGCCATTTACTGTTCAATGCCGTTTCGAAATTCTCGATGGCGTCATAATACCTTGACTATTTATAATTAATGTACGCCGCATCTTCGCTCTGACTCGCGCCATTCTCTCTGATGGTTACCTTCGATAACGTTCGCCGTATATCGGCGGTGCGTTATCGCGAGCGAGATCGAAGCGTAATTATCCCCGACTAGTAAACGACGTCGTCGTTCCGCGATTATACATTAAAACTCCGATTGTATTTCACGCAGATTATCAGGAGCACAAGAAATGGCAGGAGATCAGGTCCAGGTTGGACCCGGTGATAGCGGATCTACAGGACGTGCAGGGGCTGACGTACGGGTTGCTGAAGAGGCTGGAGGCACACGGCCTCTTCGTCGAGAACGTCCGCGGGCGGGACGACGGTAGCCGGCCGGTGATCTACGCGATCACGCCTACGTTCGCCAGGCCCGTGCAGAAGGCCGAGCTCACCCGGTTGGCGCAGACGTTCCTACATGTCCCCAATTTTCACTGGCTCCTCGTAGAGGACGCGCCGCAGAAGACCGCCCTGGTCACCCGATTCCTGGAGACCAGCGGCCTGATCTACACCCATCTGTCCGTGTCGACCCCGCCGAATTACAAGCTCGGCAGGAACGACCCGAATTGGAAAAAGCCGCGCGGGGTTGAGCAACGAAACGCGGCGCTAAGATGGCTCAGGGAGAACCTCAAGCCGTCTGACAAAGGCGTCGTATACTTTGCCGACGACGATAATACTTATTCTGTTAAACTTTTCCACGAGGTGAGGCAAGCTCACTTTGGAGAAATGCTGGTTTCCTTAGAAAGATCACGTTGACGTAATCATTTTTGATTTTTCAATTAATTCTTACCCTTTGCCTTGTTTTTCTCTCAGTCTATACGATTTAATTCGGAGCAGTTTACTCGCTGTTCTATATTCTCAAATTTTTTACATAATAATTGTGATCAGAAGAGTGACTCGATTAATCCATCTGATATCAATTTCAAAGATAATTATGAATCACGATTCACTGCGGTACGTCTGTATGTATCGTGTGTTTCACTCAAATATAATAATTATAAATGTATTGCTTCCAGATGGAGAAAATACAAAAAGTTGGCGTTTGGCCGGTCGGCCTAGTCGGCGGTCTAATGGTAGAGAAGCCTATTTGCGACAACGCCACTAATAAAGTAATCGGTTTTAACGCGGCGTGGAAACCGGATCGGCCGTTTCCACTCGACATGGCAGGCTTCGCTATTAATCTCGAATTACTGTTGGAGCATAAAGACGCGTGGTTCTCATACGACGTGCAAGGCGGCTATCAGGAGAGTGAGATACTTAGACAATTAGTCACGAAGGATCAATTGGAGCCACTGGCGGACTGCTGCACGAAGGTAAGATCGGAAGACCTATCTGGAATCTGGAATTATTAATAATCTTTTAAAATGTTCGTGAAATTTTGAATCATGTGTATTTTAGGTGTACGTGTGGCATACGCGAACGGAACCGCCGCAATTAAATGTCGAGCAGATGTTGATCAAGAAAGGTAAGCGTTCCAATGCCGGCATCGAGGTATAAAAAAGAAAAGGTTGCTCATCATCATTCTACGACAAGAAAAGGTTGTTTATCATCATTCTACGCAACGCTGCTGCATTTTTCTAATTCCTTGTGAATCAGTGATCTAATAGATATTATTATTATTATTATAAATTCGTGATCTAATAGAGATATTATTATTATAAATTCGTTGACATCGATTTTTTTTTAAAAATAGAAAAGATGGGGCAAACCCAAGAGCACAAACGTTCTTTTTATCGGGTTCTGCATATATACACATATATACTACATATATATAATATATGTGCTATATATATATATATACATATATATTGCATATACATGTAGAATACAGTGCCATCCTGTATAGCTGCTTGTAGTAATTACTGTAAATTAGATGTGATAGCGATGATAAAGAACAAAAGTAATCGAATAACCCTAGCGAATCATTATCCGAATCTTGAAGAATTATGTGATAATGCAGTGCTTTGGATTAATCCGCATGTCCCACGATATCGTTTCGTCGGGACGAGTCAGTGACCATTTGTCATTTTCATGAAAAGTATAAATAATCTTATATCGCAGTTATATCGTTTTGTAAAAAAAAAGTATCTATTGTAATAAAATTTTTGAGGAAAACAAGAGAGGCGCGGGTTTTCAACCCTGTCTATCCATCCATCTTTCTCACCTTGAAAACTTTTTCACTTTTTATTCGAGAGCACGATTTCTTGTCGCGTACAGAAAAAGCATTACATAAAAAATACGCCTTACATCTACGGAACTTTAATACTCGGTAATGATCTCCAAATCGGAAGATGCGCAGTAATACTTTTTGTGGGAAGCTACTTGTCAAGGATTTACGGCTTTTGGCAACGGATACAAAATAGCTAGGGGTGCTAGAAACGATGATGCGTCTCGCTCGCCGATGCGAAGTGATCGCGCGATATCCGTCACGCGAATGTCCCGCGACTTGTTTATATTTTCCATGTACATATATATCATTTTTTTTGTATAATATATATATTTTATATTTATATGTATTCATTGACTTACGTGCTAATAAGTACTATGGTATTTGGCAAATTCTCTGTCTTACGTAAAAAAGCTATCTGCACGGAACGCGTGTTCGCGACTATGAGAAAGCGTGCCAACTTTCGATTTCGATGTATCAACAGGTGCAATGATATAATATCCGATGAGAACGTCCTCGCTGCTAGTTCCAGATTTTCTACACTTTGTTCTTTTCCGTCTCTTTTCAGTTCTGTACAGAAGTATATAATCTTCGCTTTACAAAATTAATGACCAGCCGTAATTAATTTTAAAATTAATTCAGTGATAATTCAATTCTTTTCCAGTTCTAGAAAGAGAGTCGTCACTCGAATTGCATTTGAAGCTAATCGACGTTCGTGAAATCTTTCATTGGAATCCACGTAAAGCGTTAAGGCGAAAAAATTTCCGTTCTCTGGATTTATCATTGCACCTGACTGACCTGACGATACAACAATCTGTTACAATGTTATTTCTCCTCGGATGTGAGTCGCCCACCGTCGGTTTTCCGCGAGGACACGCATTCCGTGCTGGTGCAGGTTTCTCTAGACCTACCAAAAACTCTCCTAAGATTTATCCTCGATACGTCTTACAATTAAGGAAAAACGTTTACAAGCATTTACAAAAACTTATCACATTTTAACTGCGTTTCTTTCTGCAAAAGCCATCTTAGACATTAGGGCAAGAGCGGTACGGTTTCTTTTACTCGCTATATTCGGATATATTAATTATATGGCAGCTTTTTCCGATGTCATACTCTCGCGATTCGCTGACCGAAAATCCGACTGGCAAGCTCCGTGTATCTGCAAGACTTGACACTTGTCACGGTAAATACCATTTGCTTTTGATTACACTATACATACATGTTCAGAGAGACTTTTAGCGTCAAGGTAGCGCGTTCAAATTTTATCAGAAATTCTATTATTAATTCGCGCTAACCGATTGTTCTTGCATCCTAATATCGCAGTCTATATGTTTCCAGTAGAGTTTCTTTTTCCAACTTTATTTTGTCTATATAAACAACCACAATTGATCACCGTAATTATAGTGACTTCTGTAATGTCAGTACAAATACACAGTGTCGCAAGAGTCGCCCTATTTTCATTTTACTTCTCTTCTCAATTTCTAAAGACTATAAAAAAAATTTTTATCCTTACAGAAAAGCGCGAATTTCACTAATAATAAAAATTAAAAAAGCAACATATATATATATATATAAAAGACAAGCCGCTCTTATGTCTCATAGACAAGGTAACATTATAAAACATATATACGTTAAATTATCACTAAAAAAAAAAGGTAATTGAGAGCCTTTCTCACTCGAGGTAAAAAGTAAATGCATAAATATACAAGGGTGGTTATGATTATATAAATGTACGAAGAACGAACGAACTCGCTACAAGGATATGCGAGATTTAAGTAGTAATTCACTCATAACTATAGTGGTCACACGCATGATCGTAAGACTCATCGACAAAGAACACGTGCGTATTGAACAATACGCGATCGGCGATTAAACGATGCAATTCGATATTTATCTCCGGCTACTTGAACGACAGTCGGTTACGATTCCATTGGTTCGACATATAAAAGAATCAGTCTTTGGATTTAAGAAAAAAAAAAAAACGGTGAAAAGGATTGAACATTACGATCACGGAGTCAAGGAATTTATGAGAATAAAAGCGCGTCAAATACATATCGCGTATGTATGTGAAAGCCTACCTACTGTATACGTTTTTCGATTGACAGTCATTCCTAATCGAAAGACGTGGAGAAGGATGAGGTATGAACGTGAGGGAAAGAGAAATAGATTGTTCAAGGTGTATGTACAGTTTCGAAGGTTGCCGCAAAATCGCGTACCTCGTTTAAAAGGGAAGAAAGAGAGTTTCTCTGTTGGCGCTTGAGGAATATGAAAGCAACACTCACATTCTTAAACATTCTGAAAACGGAGAACGGCCTTTTTACACAAGAGATTTCTCCAAGGTGCCTCGAATTATTTTTTTTTTTACGAGCGCTGAATGAGCGCAATATATAGTGTCACAATTAAAATTTTGTCGCAATTAAAATTGTATAACGCTAAAAAAATTACTGCTAAATAAACATTAAAAATAAACATAACAATCGGTTAATAAATAAATCAGTTAAAAAAAAACTTTACATTTACAGAGGAAATGCTGAAGACTGATGAAGTCGACTATAAATTTTGCTCTCCATTTTCATCTTGTCCAAGAATTCCTCAATTCTTTCGCTACTAAGTACTGGAATTTAGATATGTCTTATTGAACTCCCTGTAAGATTTCGAAAGAACCTTATAACTCGAACAGTTCTTTCTTTAATCCAATATTAAGTCAGTATTAAAAACAATCTTTTCACAATGACGATGAATTGAAGTTATCTGGATGTCACACCACGAAGAATACGAGCATTGCATTTTCGCGCGATTATATTCCTCAAAATGCAATCTTCTTTCCGAACGAACATGAAGTTGTTTCTTCTCTCTTCTTTTTACCTTCATGCGCAACAGAGTACGACTTTCCGCGCGGGTCTTCTTGAAACCGCGCGCGACAAAGGACGCGATACTACCCAGCGTACTAGACTGTGATAATCTAAAGGGTGCCTCGAAGCGTTCATCTAAATCGATCAGTCGACCTCTACCAATTGCACGACAAATTTTTGTACATTCTTCTTGCCAGCTTCCTAATCTTCTTCTCGCGCAAGCGATCTACCTACTCCTCATTTCCTTGCGTTATAACGTTACAATTATATCCGTATTTTCCTCCCAAGAGCAACTACCGAGTAAGCTCCGCTAACTTCGTACTTCTCGTTTTCGTAAGCTATCGATTATCTGTGCTCCTTCGCATGCTTCGGCGAGTATACTGACGGGGGCAAAAAGAGTTCAAGACTGCTTTTATGCTCAAGGGACAAACCTTCCAAACGTGACATATTCGTCGATAAAAACTACCTTGGATCAACCTTTTTGATGTTATTTTTAAGCGATTCTTGCGGTAGTCAAAGAGAGCTAGTAAAATATTCTGATCAAATCGCTTTTCACTTTGTATCTTAATGTGTTTCAGGTAAAAGCGCGGTGGAGGGATATGTCAGGTTTCCAAAGTTTTGCTCCTTCCTTAAGCGGTTAGCTTACCTTACACGCGAAATCAGACGTGCAGCGAGAACCTTGCGGCAAAGTAATAGGCGATAAGTTCACCGAGGAAGCGCTTTCAGGGGATTCTACGGGGAAGTGTAGGCGGCAAGTGTATCGCAGTACACGAGGTAAGAGGTTTCGAGAGGGAAGAAAGGCGGGTCGGCGCGGCGGTACGACCGTGAAACCGCGCGTAACGTTTTAGAGCAAAACGAAAAGCAGAGGCTCGGGCGGAGAGAGACTCGGCGCTGAATGGCGAAAGAGCAATCCGCGTCAAGGCTTTCGTCTCGGAAAAATTCCGACGAGGCGGATCGCCGAATTCTCTCCCGTCCTCCCGCAAGCGGGCTCGCGAACGTACGAAATGATGATCCGCTCTGCGCGTCCTACTTTTCGTTTCTTGTTTTTCATTTCCTTGTTTCTTCTTTTTTTTTTCGAGAACACTTTTCAGCCGGAAACCGCGCTGCGTTTCCGGAAACGATTTACAATCTAGTACGCCGGAAGAATATCTAGACGGCCGAGTCCTTGCCGACGAAGCCGGTCTTGGAGACGGACCTCTTGCCGTCGAAGGTGATGGAGGTCTCCCGGCGCAGTCCGGAATCGATGATCGGCGTGATCTTCTTCTCCTCCTTCAGCGGCTCCTTCTCGTCTCTGCAAAAGCGTCAAGACAACATTTGTCGGGGTTTCCGTGATTTCCGCGATGTCATGTTAACTTCTAATACCGGGCAGAAAAAAAAGTAGAAAAAGAAGAAAGCATGTCCATATATGCGACGCGTGGTGCGACATCGAATATACACGTCAGGCATGCTGTCACTCGCAAAGTAAAAGAATTGTCACAGCGAGAGAGGTTCCGGAGAAACGCTGATGCGTCTCTCTCTATATGCCATTTTTGATATCGATAAATCCCGAGGGATCCGCGCTTATTACGATTCTTGGGATGCTTCGTGGGCTGTTCCAAGCATGATGAAACAGCATTCAATTTTCTGAGCGTGCACATGCACAAAGTACGCAGAAGAATAGAAAAAAAGGGATTTGCCGCCTATTTTTTATAAATTTAATATAAATATTTAAAAGCATATATATGCTGCGTTTCTTATACTTCAAATAAAACTTTTTCAATTCTAAAACCGTCTTATTTTTATTAATATATATATTTTTGGTAATTTGTGCTTTGTACATGATGCCCGCGTTTTTTTGAGAAAATAAAATTCAAATAACGATTGAATGTAATCTGTGAGCATCGTTAAAGATACGAACCATTAAGCGGAACAGTATATTTTCCTTATTTTCAGAAATAAGGAATTTCCGAAGCATTTAATGTAGCTACTCTGAGATAATTAGAAAAGAAGATATAAATCATCAAAAATATATGAAATTAAATAGAATGTTGAAATAGAATGAATAATTATGTAAATCTATTCGTCATATTTTCGTCAGGATCCAAAAAATCGATCTTACATTTTTAGTTTCTTTTTTTTATTTATGCGAACAACATCTAGTTAATAATTTCCTCATTTCTTTATCAATTCATACCACTTTCGTTCAAAGTATATCAAGTTGTTACAGCGTTTAACTCGCAGTGCTATTTGCGCTTCGTAAAGCACAAAACTGGCAGGTCGGGAAGAAGACTCGCATACTTGTTGCAACATTGTGCGGTAACGGAACGGACTAGAGAGAATTAAGGACAAAGTGAGCGTTATCCCAAAGTGTATTGTGCATGCGGCATGGCCAAAGCTCAAGCGAGTACCGGCTCTATGCGCGTTACAACGAAATAATATTAAAAAGTGTCCACTCGCAGGCGGCACGGAACAGTTTAGTTTAGCGAGTCTAATGTTGATTTTATAATTAACAATCCATTCAATAAGCAAAAATCACGAATTATAAACAAGAAACTAAAGTATTCTCTTTTTTAAAAATCATTCCTTTCATATAAAACATAAACAAATTTTTTCTATCTCTGATGTGACTGTAATTTCACTGAAATTTCCAACAATATATGTATACGTCATAAAATAATTCTAAAAAATTTCAAATTTATTGCTTCTTTTTCTTTTTGATACGTGAGTATTCATATATTTTCGCATTTCGCTCAAAAAAGAGGGAAAAAATGTATTATGTGCCATGCTGTCTGGTCGAAGTTGTCCATAATCCATTCGACGGATGTTAAAAGAGGGAGAAGATATAATGCGCAACTTCTATGCGTAGCCACGAGTGGACACGGATGCCGGCGCAACAAAAAAGTGTAAAAAATAAATGTGTTGCAAAACGAGGAATGGTTGGCGGCACAATGAATGCGTCCAACGGATCGAACGTGTTTTCTTCCATGCTCATCGAGCTCTCTTCGATGCGTATCGACGACTTCCCTTACCGAGACGGTTCATCCCCCGAACGAGCCGTCGGACGAGTCCAGCGGTGGGTACCGCGCCGTCAGGCAAGAAAAGTACGCAAAATAAAAAAAAAGAGAGAAGGAGGAGAAGAATCTCCGAAAGCTTCGAAAGAAAAGAGAAGAAAGAAGGGGAAAAAGAGAGGTGGAAAAAAACATCATGCAAAGTGGAAAGCCGTGTCGGAGCCCCTTCGTGAGGGGCCATGCTTCTTACTGATTTCGCTTATACATCGTTTTCTCTCTTACATGGCAGTGTGTTTGACCAATCTAATGGTATTTTTTCCACTACCCGAGTCTTGGATGGCCGTGACCCCGGCGACATTGGCCATTTTTTGGTCGCAATACGGCAACGGAAACCGCCAACCGTAAAGACTACCGGTAAAGAAAAAAAAGAGAGAAATACGAGAGGAGTCAAAGTGTTGTTCGCTGTGTCTGCCAACGGGCTACTCTCTAACATTTAATATCGTCACTCCACCACCGTCATCGCATCAACTATCGTCCATTCTGTCGCGCGAGACGCGATTATGCGAGGGCAAATCGCGAACGCGCGCAGAATTGCGCGCGGGCAGGTAATACGGGAGAAATCCCGGTGCACTCGCGTTTCTAATCAAATTGTCGGCGAGAGAAAGAAGTAACGCGAACTCGACGGTCGATAGAGAATAACGGAAGAGGAACAAAAAAAAAGAAACCGTTCCGAACGTGTGAACGAAAGTTCAATGACGGGTGCAAAGTTCGATAACATGATAAAGTATAGCGCTAGACTTGCCAAAGCACAATGTAGAATACATATGTAATAAGTGTAAACGAGAGAAATGCGGTAAGATTGTATATCCAAGAAAAGAGTATCTCATAATACATATATATTCAGAATACCGTTGCGCCGCGAGTTTCGGAGTATTCAGCGAGAGACTCACCTGCCGAGCTTCGTGTCTTCCTCGTCGACTGGTTTCCGCCGAGACCGTTCGCGCATGTAGTTAATAATTCCTGTAACGGAAAAAGTGGACGAACATTATTGCGGCGAAATGTTATTGACCATTAAAACAGAGAAGCGTGCAATATTTTAATATTGCTAGATTTGCGAAACAATACTAATTGTCTCATTTAATTTTCGACATCGCGCGCGTTGGGAATATTTTTTTTTACGCGTTACTAAAAAGCTTTCACCAATTTTTAATTAATATGCAATTAACTCCTTTTTAGAATTACACATTTTCATAGGTAAACTCCAAAATGTAAATTCCGCCGAAATTGAGTGACATAATTAACCGTAATGAGTAATAACCAGCTGGAGCTTTCATTATTGAGCTACACGTGATTGGCAGATAACTATCGTCCGATGAACGTAATTAACAATAATGCAAACGCGAACGGAACTTGGATATTTCCTACTATATTGCACAGTATAACGCGCGAGGGAGTTTATCAATGATCCGCTCAAGCAGCGCTCGATGATTTAACGCCGGGCTCACCTGTCTTGCGCACGCAGCAGCAGATGGCATCGATGATGATAAAGATGACGAATATCGTCGCGAGGACAATGCCGATTATGGCTCCGCTCGATATCAGCGGGCCGTGATGCTGCAGCACGCTGGTATCTACACCTTGAAAGACGATAAAATCATATCATTCTTAAACATATCCATCCGTGGCACGCGTGTATATGTATATCGCAAGTCCGTTAGTGCAAAAGCGATACTGAACGATGTTTGGTGATGGTTAACAATCGTTGCATTCGAACGTGTACTTGGTGATACACGTCGTGGAAGCGGTTGCGAGAAAGAGTGCGATAAGACATGCTTGAGAAAACGTACTGGTACGTTTTTCTGACCTAACAAAGTCACCGTTATCCGTACGAATTATTTAATAAATAGCAATCGATACAAAAAGATTATCGATCAATTTTACGATTTATGTAATTACGGTTACAATTTTAGCAAATCATATGTCATAATCCTCCCGTTTTTTAAGCCTGAAATAGCTGAAATGCACGATTTTAGCTAAAATTACAGATAATTAATTTAAAATAATTACTGTTACGTTAATAATCTATTAGATATTAAACAGTATTATTAACAGTATTAGCGATTACATCGTTAATGTTAATATATTATTCGATAAACATATAATTCAAACGCGCGCGAGGTAAAATTCTCTCACGTCGATACAGTAATTAAGATAATTGCTTCTCGAGTGCCGCGCGGCCACGGTGTCGCATCACCAAACACGTTCCGCGTACAATGATATTTTAGTCTCCTGAAAAGAAACAAGATCTCGGCGGGGTTGTGTAAGGGAGATGCGGCAAAAATCCGTCTTTATCAAAGGAGGAAACCAAAAACCAGAAGGCAACAACGGCAAAGACATACAAGTGGTGATTGTCGGTTAAGGAGACACAGAGAGTGTACGTGTATGACTGTGCAAATGAGTGTGTATGTACGTGTGTTTTTTTTTTTTCGTGTGTACGTGTGTGTTACACGCCGGTTAATGGATCGCGATAATTAGCGCACTGGCAAGAGCGTAGAAGCGATAGAAGAGTCTCGGTCTCGCAACACCACACAACACGAGCTGTGCTAAAAAGCTCAAGGGAGAAGGGAGGAGAGGGGGGGAGGGAAAAAAGCTCATTCACTAGCTTCCCACAACCGGATGTTAGTTCTCTACGCGCCACTAGTCTAAAAGTGCTACCTCCACACAAAAAGCCCCTCCACCAACTGTGAGTGCCTCGCATTTGGTTCTGTCTTACATTCACTCATTCGTTCTCTGTCATTCAGCCTTTTTCTCACGCTTCTTCCCTCATTCTCTCACTGCCAATCCTTAACAGAGCTCTCAACTACGTTAATTAGCGGCCACAACCTTGCACTTGCTTGTACTTTAAGGGGATATTTACCGTTTTCGGCGGCGCGCGTCGCTTCCCGGTGGGTTTATTTTTATCATAATTATAAAGTAAAGAGAGAGAGAGGCGATGTGTATGATAAGCGAAAAAATAAACAAGACCGCCGAAAAAGAAACCATCTCAAATTGCAAACGCGCGGCCGGAAAGGCAAATCTCGGCTGATTCCCGGTCGAACGATCATCATCCCGTCTCCTTCCTCCTTCCGCTCGTCACTCCGTTCGAAAGTTTCGGAAAATCGACAATTTTTTGGCACGGGATATACAATTTGAAGGTGGCTTCTCCGCTGGCTCGGATTCGTCCATCCGTATTGTTCTTTTTTTCTCCTTAGACACTCACATATATTTTTCTTACGTCGTTCCGTTGTATTTACAATATATATTGAATGTTTTCGCACAGGAAAGAACGAGTTATACGAGTTTATCCTCCTCATAAATACGAACATAGTTAGGCACTAGGCTAGTACATATCCTTAGACGTATATGTAAATGGTTTTTATCTACCTATCTATCTATGTATATTCTTTATATATACGTTTGTACATATACGTGTATATCGTATATACGTGTATCATGTGTCTTGGGTGTACGTGTATCTGTAGCGTGTAAATATATACCCTTCGGGGGGGAAACTACGAGAGCGGAGACCACCGTAATAAAAAATTTAAAAAAGACAGGAAAGAACGCGGAGAAGAACAAGAGATCGCCACGCGCGATCATCGAATGTCTCGTATCGTAAAAGTAACCGGAGCGGCAATGGGAACCGAACGGCCACGTTGAAATTCGATTTCGCATTCCGGTCTATTTTCGGTCCGTGTCGTAACGTGCCTAGGCACCACATCGGCGCGATTCTTAAACCTGGACAATCTCCGTATACCGCCTAAAGTAAACTCATAGCGGCATGTGTATCCTTTTTTTCTGCTTTTACCCGAAAAAAAAAAAAACAATAAGGCTGTGTGGATTACGAAAAAATAGCGCATTGGGAAAAAAAAAAAAAAAATGTGTTTTTATTAACGCTCCGTAAGCGGTTTAAACGTTTTCTTTCTCCGACGCAAAAGTGGTTCTGTTTGCAGACATTGTGTTTAACGCGCTAGAAAATCTCTAAAACCCGTACCTTATTATGTTTAAACAAGATAACAGAATAGAAAAAAAAATTGAGCGTCGCAAAAAATGCACTAATACACTGGCGGAAGGCTTTTCCGAATACGGGCGGATGTTTATTATTAACCGAAACGCGTTTTTGTACGTGAACCTTCAGGCACTCATTCGACATCTTTTTATCAATATTCCAATATTAAATGAACCATAAACATAAACCCTTCTATCCACCGAGATGTAATATAAAATTATGGTTAAATTTAATTTCATAAAAATATCTTGTAGTTTCTCGTTGAATAATATTTAAATAATATTTCGCGATATAAAATAACAATAAAAAAATTTACCAAACAATTACAACCCAAAAGAATTACTTTGTAAAGTGATTTCAGTGCTCTTTTCCCCAATGGAAGGGTTAAGCTGGCGCCGTTCCACCGCGCGGATTCGAGGATCTGATACTGCAAAATCGCGCGAAAACCATGCATGCCCATCGGAAATAGATCGCGAAGAGTATCGCGCTTATGTTTCTGAGTTTCTCGCCCTCTCGTCGTTCCAGCCCTCCGATTCATCCTCTCGACGCGGTTCTCTTTAAGCGCGCGGCGGCTATTTATAAAACGACGCGGCGCGGCGCGGCGACCGGCACCATCGGAGGTTCCACGAACGGATTCGCATTCGCGAGCAGAACCTATTCGGGCTCTTCTGCGTTTCCTTGTTTCTATCTCCCTCGCGAAGTCGCGCGCGGATAAGTACTCGAGGATGGACTCGGCGCATCAGACAGCGCAAATACACGGCTCTCCTCCTCTCGAGCGATCCATTTGCACGCGCGCAGAGAGATTATCTCCGTAATGAGAAACACTCCAGCTGCTGTTGCTGGGAAACTTCTTGCTCGAACATAGACACGTCCAGGATTGTGTATATATTTGACGTGTATTATTTCGGCGTCCCTCGGGAAACGTTTTGGGAAACGCGGTACCTATGCCACAACATTGAAAGCATTGAGAGTAACAATCGTGGTAACATAAGTAACGTAGACAAAGAAAAATGTGTCAGAAAATTAGCGCGGCTCAAATAAATTTGAAATAAAGAAACAAACTTTAGAAGCTTTTCGGATCAAAATAAAAAAAAAAAAAGATCATTGAGTTTACCAATGAAAAGTCATTATTCGTTCAATTTCTTTCGAATTACTTCACTCAACTAGGCGAGACAGCAATCCTTCCCGCAAGATAAATTCTATGTAGTCGCCATACAATCGCCCTACAAAGCGAGTCAATCGGAATAATCCCGCATTCCCTGCTAATTGATTCCGTCCGCAATCGCGTCCTCGAGATGATGATGCCGGTGCTCGAAGCGTCCCGGGTGAAAGCAAACGCTCGCGCAAACAATGAGTCGTCGTCGCCGAATGGAGCATTTATACGCTCGCAATTTATCCGGACACGGTGCGGCGCGCAGTTTGCGCGGGGGGGAATCGATCCTTCGAGCACAAAACACAAAGCCGCCTTGATTTCCCGGCAGAGACAATTCCGGCTACGGCGCAAGAATCGAGGATCGATTGGATATCCTACGGATTGCGGAGGGCTGGTCGCGTGGCGTCTCTGATGGTTTGAGGCTCTCCGCAAACACGCTCGTCTGCGCCCGTGGTGCCGTAGGGAGAGGAGGAGAGGAGAACGAATCATGCACGTTCGCGTAATTAGTCCGCGCGAATCGCGACACGTCGAACAATCGCGCATAAAGAGCCGTTTGTTCGTGACTGTAGCCCCCACAACCCCGCGTCGCGCCCATTTAACGTTAAATTGCCGTCTGCTTCTAGAATTACTGTATCCTTTCGGTGTATGAAGAAACTACATAATGGTCCTTGCAATGGTCCGTATTCTCGTCACGAACGATTCGACCATCGCTGAATTTCCCCATCTAATTTTGAGATATCCACGAAGAATATATTCGAACATTATTGCAAATGAATTGGAAGCACGGAGACCATGTTCGTACGAAATAAAAATGGAACAATGAAATTTAACGTGAAATACGTGGCGCGTAGAGGATCATTAAATACGGGTTAAATGCGGGCAATAGACTTTCCGATACTCTCCCGCGACATTGACGAAAATGGACTGGACATTGACAGAACTGCGCGACTCTGTTCGATGAAATGGAATAACGGTGGATCGTGTCTTTACCGAAGCGGCGAACTAAATCGATACCGTGGCTCTGTTCGTTGCAATTTCACGAATCCTTTTATCGAGACAAAGTGCGAATTTCGAGGGATTTCGTCCGGCCAGTTCCAGTTACAATCGTTCTCGAGCTCTCCGGGAGGAGAGCAACGCCCGGTGATTTCCGCCAGAAAGGAGGAAAACTCATCGGAGGAAGATTCGCGACGGATGGGAAACCATTTCGGCAACTATATCGTCCGCTTCCCCCTTCGAATCGTTTTCTTCTGGCCGTCGCGTCTGCTGCTCGTCGACATTGTCTTTATCATCGGTTTAAAGCCTTCCGCCCGCGCCCGGTCTCCGCGCTCGTCTTTCACCGGTTTGAAGCATCGTCGTCTGAAAAGCGGACTTTATCCGTGCGCGCGCTCGCTCGCGTGGCCACGCTTTCTTCCGCTTCGCAACGTTTCCGAAGTTAC